ATTACAATCAAAATTAGCTAACATGCTGCAACATCTCTGCCTTTCCAGCTGGAGAGAGTGAGGAGCAGTGAGCTACTTTGGATGTCTCACATAGCACAAAGCACTGCTCCCTGAAACAACCCTAACCCAAGCTCATTTGGGATCACCTGGAGCCCCTAACCTTTCATTTCAGATCTTCGATTAATTTTTCCCTCCAATTTTTCATACCAGTGAACAGGGATAAATCTGTATAAGTCGGGTTGGTTTTGCCAGTGTTTTCTAAGGGTCTTTCATCCTTACCCAAAAATACTTCTGGGCTTTGAGGCTGCTCCTTCTGCAGATCCATTTTTGCCCAGTGACCTGGCAATGGATGCTCAACAATATATGACAGTACATAACAACAGTCCTGCTTTGCAGTCAAATCCATATTCCCACACATGAACATCTCTACATCCCATGGCTTATTCACTCAGTCATCACACCTCTGATTAGGTCACCTTAAAGAAACAGAGAAGTAGCACAGTAAATTCCATGCATGAACACAAGCTACAAACTTCCCTCCTCACGGTCTGCATAGACTAAAGCAGTTCTGAAAAGGAACACGCACGAGCAGTGCCTTTGATGGGAGCTCCACATAAAACTTGTGTTGCTTTGTTTAGAACCAAAACACACTCTGGTCTTCAGACTTTATTTTTGCTAACATTTATTTCATCAAATCCCTTTCCCCAATAAGTTCTGAAGTGTCCATGGAAAGCCTGTATTTAAAAAGCTTATGAATTAGTTATCAGTATGGATTGATGAGTACTTGCATACACAACACCTACATCTTTCACTATAACAAAGATACCTGTAACTTTTTTTTTATTCTTTATGCTGCTTTGTCTTAGAATTATGAAATTAATACTTTCTTAACTAGGATTTTCCTTCAATAGTGAAAATCTAACTTTTCATTTTAAATAAGCTATTCAGAAATGAAGCAAGGCTGTGTGATTTCTTCATGCCAATGTTTGTGGCAGTGCTACAGGCATAGCCCAACTACTTTGGTAAGCACTCATCCACAATACTTTTCCCCAAATATCTAAATATTGATACAGCCTCAATCTGATGCAGGCAAGTGTAGTTTTTCAAGATGAAAAGGCAAAAGATGTATCTTTGAGAAGTATCCTGCAAGTTAGAGAACACTGGACATCACCACCACCAAGCAGATATTGTAAAGGTAGATATGTAAAAAGGAGCTGCTGTTCTACCTCAAAGTGCACCCTATGCTTCTGTAAAAAACACCACCACCAAAAAGTTAAAATCTTCAGAGCAGAAGTGGAAAAAAAAGTATGTTTTTGAGTTTTCTTCCCTGTCAGCTTTGCTGCAGTGAAAAACTTCTACATAGCTTGGCTTACAGTTCTCATGGCTAAAAGCCACAGCTTAATTTATAAAATAACTGACAGGACCAACAGGCATCTTTGTCTCCTTCCGTAGGATTTAAACGGCAGAGAGTTTAAACAGCAAATACTCCATTAGAATGAGTTCATATCGTATCTATTCAGTCCTTACAAGCCTTGGTTTAAAAGCCAAATCCATTTGTTTCTCTAAAACTCCTTTATGTTGCCTCTCACTATGATGAAACACACTGTGCATCATTAGCACTGAGTGATAAGAAAAGCAGTTTCAGACCCCTTATCAAAATACTTACTGGATGAAGGGTGTTCCTGCTGAAGACAGGCATTCCTTTTCAAGTCCATCTAAACTTTACACATCGTAGGTGTTGCTTTGCATTTCCCTTCTATAAATCATCAATTAAAGATTTTCAATACCTGATGAATCAGTGTTTCCAAAAGCTCAGCGGATGGAAGCTGGGTACCACATGGGTTGGATGGATTGAACCATGTTATGAAGTCACTGCAGCTCTCACACCCACAGCAGAAATACAAATAAGGATCCAACAACACATCCCTGCAGCCTGCACAGGAGACACGAATCTCCTTTTCCCAGACTGAGCTGGGCTGTTGGCTCACGCATCGGACAGGGCCAGGCCAGCTGAGAGCAGTACTAGGGAGATGCAGCAAGAAAAACGTGAGCATGTGTCTGAAGGAGCACTGGTTGTCCTTCCTTTTGCTTCCCTATATGCTGTAAAGCAGTTGATACAAAGACAACATTCCAGCCTCAGTCTGCACTTAACTGTCCATGTTTAGCTAGTATATGTTGCTAGTGTAAGTCATAGAAACATAGAATGGTTTGGGTTGGAAAGGACCTCTAAGATCGTTAAGTTCCCACTGCTTGCCATAGGCAGGGGTGCCTCACACTAGACCCTGTCACCCAATGCTCTGTCCAACCTGGCCTTGAACACCGCGAGGGATGGAGTATTTACCACTTCCTTGGGCAACCCATTCCAGGGCCTCACCACCCTCACAGTAAAGAACTTCCTTATAGTTAACCTGAACTTCCCCTGTTTAATTCCTAGCACTTTTCACCCTTGTGCCCAGTAGCCAGCAGCTCATAATGCCCATCACTGATTTACACCACTTTTTTACAGCTGAACTACCGTTTCTAGTCTCTGATAGAGGGTCCTAGATGTTCTTAGGCTCTCACTTCAGCAACGTTTGATCCAGGATTATCCACACAATTTAAACTTTGGGAGATTGGAAGTGCTTTTCAGAACAGAACAGTCCATCAGTTTGCTCAACAGCTCTAAACAGTGACTTGCACAGCCATGTAGTTTTTAATCTTTTGTTAACAAGTAATACCACATGCTCCTCAAATGACTGAGAAGTAGTTATTTGATTTAGGACTCTCTCAAATTATAAGCAGCCCACAGTTAATTTAAATAGTGTATGTTGCATCTTTTTCTCAATGAAGATTAATGTTATTCTTGCCATGGGGCTATGTAAAAAGGAAACATTTGTGCAACAGCGATTTTTAACACTTTCCCCAGATTGATTTATGAGCTTGTTTTCAACTTTCTGGGCACCCATAAATGATGTCTTTAGACTTCTGAGGGAATACTGATGTCCAGTAATTTATGACTGGATAAAAGCAAGCGTGTTGAGGGAAGATTATTTGTCTCTTGACCATAACTGAGTGGGCAAGATAGAACAAATGAGTTTGCAGAAACTAAGCGGAGCCTAAAGATTTGAAGTCAATACAGAAAACAAATAAAATAAAACCCCACAAAACAACAACAAAACCCCCATACAACCAAACATCAAACAAACAAAGAAAACCACAAAAGTCGCAAAATCAAAATCCTCTTCCTTCTTCCAAAACCCCAAAACCAAACCAAAACGCCAGACAGAGGGTGAAAAAATAAAGATTAAATCTGCCTGTGTGCTACAGGCCCGTAGGAGAAGTCATGCCCATAGGAAGCTGGAGTTACTGAAATAAAGTATTGATTTTCTGCTGAAAGAACTGTAAGTATAAAAGGACAATTAATTTTTAAATTAAGGTAACAGTCATATTATTGCTTTCTGGATATAGAAAGAAGCTCATCTGTCTATATCTATCTGCAACATTTGACTCTGTGTTCAGAGGCAGTGAAAGTTTAATCAAAACTAGATGGTTAAGGACATTAGAGTATGATTAGGTGTCCGGACTACTCTTTTATAGATTTGAACTTCAAAGTGAAGGTGAGTACATTTGACACACACAGCACATACCTGAAGCAGCACTTCACATTCCTTCTTGGCCATTGACCTCTACTCCCTTACCTGAGCAACACCCTGTCCTGCTGGGATTTGGGGTCATTTTTGGCTTGTTCTTCTCTCCAGCCTTCACACCCTACATCTTAAAACTCCTTTCATACCAGCATCAGAGAGTAACCAGTTCTTCAGGCATCCTGAAAGCAACTAGGCAGTTTCTTACCATCCCACAGCATGAATTACTACAAGCTTCTCTCCTCTGGCTTTGATAAATGCCTTTCCCCAGTGCCTGTCACTTGGTCAACACCCAAATCCCCTTCAAAGATGAGAGAGGAGTCCTGCAGAGGCTGTCTGCAAAGTAAACCTCGCTGTCCTGCTGGTAACTCAAGGTGCTGGGTGCCTGGCATTGGGTCTCCAGACATTACCTGCCTCACCATGTGCTCTCCAGGCCAGATATTGTCTTGTCTTCACACTTAGACTCTAAGTTAAGTTCCCTAGAACAGTTGTGATCATTTTGGTCTATTGCTCATAAAGACCTCAGCATGGTGGATGTGGTCCATGGCAATGTCCTAATGGCAGTATAAGCAATGAATAAAAGGAAGGTTCTGAGCAACATGAATTGATGAGTGGTGCTGCTCAGCAGGAGTTCTGGACTCTGGGCCACAAGAAATTTAAGTGTTAACTGAATCAAGTGGGGAAATGGGTTGGTCATCCAGCAAGTTTTCAGCATTTGCCTGGTTGAAATTGTTTTGTAAGCATGTAAAAAAGAATCTTAAATCAGAATGAAAATACCCAAATAATTAAATGTTTAATAATTAAATGTTAAGGGTGATGAGGCACTGGAATGGTTTGCCTGAGGAAGCTGTGAATGCTCCATCCCTGGTGGTGTTCAAGGCCAGGTTGGACAGAGCCTTGGGTGCCACGGTTTAGTGTGGGTTACCCCTGCCCATGGCAGGGGGGTTGGAACTGGATGATTTTAAGGTCCTTTCCAACCCTAACTATTCTATGTTTCTATGTTTTTAAGTTCCAGTTTATCAGTTCAGATCAATAGCTTTCACTTCTGTCCACTTTCCTCTGACAGGTTAAAAAAATCCAAAAGGTAAGTACTTATGCAGACTCCTAATCAGCATCAATTCAGACCTGGTCGCTATTTTACTATGAATTAAAAATGGGGGTTTTGCTTGTTTAAGAAGAAGTAAAGGTATGATAACTTTGACCTCAAGCATCAGTCTTTGTATCATAAATGCTCTTGTGGGGAATGTCTGACAAATCCATCTTGTGCATGACTGCATCCGATTGCCTCAGGCTGCCACTGGAGCAATTCCAACTGCTTAATGAATCCGTAACGCCCACATCCTGCATGATGAGCAATTGTGACTTTTCTGTTTCCAGAACACACCGATGAGAAGAACTGCTTCCAGGTCTGGGTGGACGTGAACCTGAGTGGAGCCTGGACGCCGTTAAAGCCACACTAACTAACCCAACTTCTAAATTATGACTACAGTAAGGATTTTAACTCCACAATGCTGCTATGCTGGGTTGTGACAGGCTTCCTACCCAGGTCTGGAAGGTAGGGATCTGCTTGTATATATGAAATCTCATAGTTTCCCTTCCCTCCCCCTCCCTGCATATATGTTGTTTGGGAAAAGCAGTACGGAAGAAAATGTTTTGAAATAAGTCCTATGGGTTGGGATGAGTGGAAACATAACTAACCAGCATAGAAACTGATATGGTTTAGACCAGCTCTCTGCAATATATGCGGTACATTATTACCTTATATTTAAAGTGACAGTGCCAAGATTGCCAGGTCTGGAAATAAACCCCATGTCTTTTACAGTATTTTGAATAGGTAAGAATGATTGCAAAATACAGCTACACCATAGAGTCTGTGACAGAGCTGGTATACTAAAGAAGATGCCAACATCTCTCTGTCTGCTTGTGCCCATAGGGTCACAGAAAAAGAGAATATAGCCTCTCTTCTTTGGCAATCCCTCATGAAAAGAGGTCTGGGAAACACAAAACAAAGAGCAGAGCAAAGACCAAATGCTCAGGAGAGATTAATCATTGAGGTACCAGAGTTCTTTATCCTAAGGCCACGGTCCCTGGCTGTTCTTGCACATGACTGCCAGGCTGCAGGTTTTCCTGACTGCTAGAATGGCCAGAGAAGAACAAGTCGGGGGGACCAGCACATCAGAACTAGGTGATGCTGACCCCCCTGAAGAGATACAGCTGCTTCCTGGTCCTGACCCTCTGTGATCCACAAAGGAGCAAGGGCACAGAGTCACTTTTGGTACTGAGTTACACTGCCCACCACTAGCCAGCACGGCTTCATCCCTTGAATGGTGAGTGTGCCTGCAGCACCCATCTGTTGTCATGGGAGTTAAAGGGGGAGAGACTGTATTGAAACACCCAAGATTTACAGAAGATTTACTCAGGACCGCTAAACTCACTAATAGTTTGAATCAGGGATTACCCTTCTGCATCTGTTGCCTTTGTTTAAACCACATTATGTTTTCAACAAATCTGAAGAAATTGAAAGAAAAATACAATTATACAGTTTGGTAGTGACAAGCTAGGGGAAAAAAAAAAAAAAGTAATTTTCTGCAATTCAGCTATTCAGAGTAAAGTTGATCATTCAAGTGTGAAACTTTATAATTGTTCCTGCTAACCTTTTTCCCCCCTACATACATATGCTGTCAACATCAGCTGTGCTAGTAAATAAGAGCAAAGCAGCCAGCCAACCAGTCTGTAGCCAGGGTGAGAGTTATTTGCAATAACACTGATGGATTTCACAAGCTAGACTATTATCTGCAAATCCATTCTGCTAACGTACACAGCACATCCCCCCAGTGGCTGATAGAATGTGCAGGCAGAGCCTCCTCCAGTACAGACCAACCCTGCTTCAACCTGTAAGACACTTGGACACCCCGTTACAAGCCTGGCTGTACCACTGGGCACCAAGAAAGTGAAACGGGAGGTTGAGACTGGCCAAGGAAATGGCAAATAAGCAGAGCAAGTTGTCCAGCTGTCACAGAGATGGAAGACCACAAGTACCCTACAGACGGTGGGGAGCAGCTCTACTCTCCCTCACTCACGTATGGGGACACATCATTGCCATGCAGAAGCCCCAGCTGTCTGTGCTGGGAGATGCAAGACATATTGGATATTCACATGGGAACAACCTTGTTTCCTTCCGTATGCACTGGGGTATCTGCAGGCAGATCCCTATCTGCAGTGGTGCTAATGGGTTTTTAGGAACTAATACTCAAACAGCATGTTCACGATAAAACCAGAGAGCTAGACTTTCTCAAGAGGAATCAGTCCTGGTGAATACATGCAAATAACTCCTTTCACATTTGGGGACCACCTCTTGCTGTTCCCCAGATGCCTGATCTAGAACAGTGGTGCATTCCAGCAATAACAAATTAATTTGGAGACAACTGCCTCAGACACAACCCCATTCCAGCACCTAGATCTGTTCAGTGCCAGTAACAGTCTGTACACTGCCAAGCCCAATGAAACTGGATAACTGCAGTAACTAACTGTGCAGAACACCACCAAATGCATTCTGACACCTAATCCACCGTGCTGCTCAGGTGAGCACGAGCATTATGTTGGTGCAGCTCTGGCAGGCTGGACCTAAAGAGGAGGCTTCCCCTCTGACAGTGCTGGTGCACAAACAGATTCAAATGAGCAGTCAAGCCATGAGCAAGGAGACAACATGGAAAGCCAGAGCCTTCTAGCCAGAGCCAAGTGACAGGTTCTCTATCAGTAATGACAACGCAGAATAGCAGGCAGCATAGAAACGTTATAGAGTTCACTGGGAGAGTAGGAAAAGGGAAGATGTGATTTGTACCACCTCATACATGCAGATTTTGGGAAAACTTATTTATATTCCCACTGAAAATGCTCACTTTTTAGTAAAACAGATCAACTTAAACATGAAACCATTAGATTCAAGCTGTGACTGCAATTTCCTGTGCAAGCTACAGCTCAGATGACAAGCTTTCGCTCTGCTCTTTGGGTAAAGCTTTCTGCCTGGCATATCCTTGCCATAACATGATTTTCCCTTCCTGTAGGAGAGGGGGCTGCATGACACCTCGGGTGTTTTACAGGAAACATCCTGGGGGCAGAGGCAAACAGAAGGATGCGGCACTTAAACCACAGCTCCTGTGAGATTGTGATGACATTTAGAAGAGAAATCTCTCCAAGGGATGGATCTTTACTTGAAACCTCTGAGCATTTTCTCAGCAAATGATTCATGTTCTACAGGGAAGTACCTTGGATTGAGAATGCAGGTTTTCATCAAAAATCAGTGCTGATGGAAATTACCAGGGAGTTCTGATATTCTTCAGGAGGTAGTTTAGTGTGAAATAACAAGGTACAATAGGCAGAACGTCAGAAGGGGAAAAAAAAAAAATCAGATCCACCCTTGTTGGACCTTCACAAGAGTTACTTCAGGAAGGACTGGGCTACAGTAGGAGTTTTGATAACTTTTTTCCCTTTGCTCCACAAAAAGAAAAAGCATCCACACTTAATACTCAGCCTTGCTGGCAGCCCTGACTTCAGTCTTCAAATTAGAAACTGTAAGATCTGTTGGCTGGTGAAATAGAGTAGTAATAGCATCTTCTGGGAATAACAGACCTCTGATCAGGTCAGGTGAGCATTACAAGCCTTACGCCTCACTGATTTCTATAGAAGCCCATGCTTGCTGGTCCAGCCTATGGATGTGACTGGTAAATACATGCAATGTCTGCTTGGTTTTATTCGCTTTGTGTCACCAGCTTCTCTTTCATCTCCCCACTGCAGGACTGGCTGTCATGGTAATTTCTGTGCTTTCAGGAAATTAAAAAAACCTGCCGTCCTTGTGCTTAAAATAGACTAGAGCCCAGCTGATTGGTACCTGCCCTGCAGCATCTAGGAGGTACTGAGATTGGAGAACAACCTGGAAAACAGTAAATTATGAGACAGAGGAGTTGTGAGCTTTTAAAAATACAATTGACAGGGCACAAAAGTTCAGGAGTCACTGGGACACCCAGTCCCAGTGCCCAGCTGGCACTGCACGATGCTGCAGGAACATGATGATCCAGCCAGATGTGAACCACTACTGCAATAGTCCTGCCAGCAGCATCAGCTCACTGGAAATATAACGAAGAAAACTTGGCTGTCTAGATAAAACCAGTACCTGGGATTTCCTCACTGCATTAATGGAGTTACAGACAGCAACTGGACCATTTGACACCCAAGTTTCACCTAGTTCTCCCTATGGTTCAATATTTTTTCTTTCCCATCTCTCTTCTCCAAATGAAGGAGGGATCAGTTCTGAGATTGATTACTGCATTTGATGTAACATTTTTGTTGTTTGTTTTAAAAAGGCATTCTATATCCCTGCTCTTTTACAGTAACAACCCTCAACACTTGTTCCTCCCACCTTGACCAAAGGTGGATGTCAGGAAAAATTTCTCCCATCCTTGCTCAGTGACACAATTCCATGAGTCAGGTTAGTTCTGCTCCTTCAACATCATCATACAAAGCAGTTTGTGTTAGCAGCTAATGAACTTGCCAGAGGCAAGCTTGAAAGAGGCAGAAGGGAGTCAATCTTTGCTGGAGCCATTTTGGTTACAGATCCAGATAATGAGGTCAGAAGAGACCTTCAGCTATGCAGACATCTGCATCAAATAAGATAACCCTTGTACTCATCACATAAGCACCTGTATCTCAATGGGTGTTAAAACATACACTTAAAGATACTGCTCCTAAAATCATTCTATTGCCTGAAGAACCTGTGAGTACCAAAGATTAAATGTTATGGAAAATAAGCTCACTTAATTTTCACTTTGCTTTGTGCCAGCGAGAGACAGGGAATGTTGGGACAGAGAGGAAAATTGGGGTAGAAACAGTCTGCTCTGCCATTTGCCTGCTCTTTCACACTAGCAGAGAAGGGAAAATATTTTTATGATTAGGAAATGCTGAGACAAGAAAAGCATCTATACCTCTTTCAAGAGATGATATTTCAAATGGATAGTGTTCATTCACCACTCTTTCTCTTTTCTTTGTTAACATCTCTTTTTATTGTTTAATATTTTAGCAAGTAGCATTCATGGGCTAAATTAAAGTGGAGATGAGATTTCTCTTGTTCACAGCTCTCAGTTTCCTGAGCCAGGACTTTTCCAGCACATCAATTTCCCTACAAGGATAGATCACACAGATTTTCTGTTTCTAATTCTACCCCCAAGTTTCCCCACATTCAGGAGCAGCCATCACTTCTGTCCGACACTGTGTTTGTTTTGCAGGTGCTCGATGATGTTAGGAGTAAATATAAACCCAGATGAAGAGTGGCATAAGAAATGGATGGACCAACCCCAGAGCCTGTGTACGTTGATGTGGACAAGGGACTGACGTTGGCATGTTTCGTCTTCCTCTGCCTCTTCTTGATTGTGATGATTATTCGCTGTGCAAAAGTCATCATGGACCCTTACAGTGCCATCCCTACATCTACATGGGAGGAGCAGCATCTAGATGACTGAAAGGACTTCAATACACAGAGCCATGAAATGCTGCAATCCAGGAGGCCTTTTCCCACTGGGAAGGCTAACACACAAACAGCCGTTTTCAGATATGCAGGGCAACAGCAATATCTCTAAGAGCACATAGTGTAAATGATTCTTGCTCAACGGATCAGGTTATCAGCAAGCCATTCTGGCAACACAGTTTAATACTATGCAGCAATCTTTATTTTACTGAAAACAGTTATCATTGTAACTCAAGTAGCACAAGACTCTTCAGACTTTGCCTAATACAGCTCTTAGTCTAGCACAGTTTGTCCCCCCCTCAGTACCTCCCACAAATCCAGGACAACCATCAGAATTTGGAAAAGCAACAAGAACATTGTGTCTTCCCTGGAAATGGATTGCTTCAAGAATCTTCCTCAATCATCATATTTGTGTTTCGAAAAAGGTCCAGATTTTATAATTTTGTATCCCAGAGCATCACGAAGTTAGAAGCACTAAAGCATGTCTGGTTAAGGAGGGTTATACAGGCAAATTTATTCTCAATTCACTTGGTTCTGCACATACACTCCTTACCCCACTGCTGCTGTATTTCCAGCGATCAGGATACAGAAACACTTGGACTATAGATCCCAAGGGGGTCATGGTCTACTGCTGACCCTGTAGCATCACCTCACTCTCCTACTCATGCAAAAACTAAGCATATCATCTGCCATGGGTCCATGGATTACCCAGATATGTCAGACCACTTACTATGAGCTTGGTAGCCACCAGAAGTCCATGGAATAGAGCTTGGACACTGCTGGTTTCAACTATATAGAAACTGCTATGATTTTCAAAGAGAGATTCCACATGCAACTCCACCCATCTTTTGTTTGAGGTGCACTTCAATGGATGAGACATAAATAGGATGACAAAGACAATAAGCAAAGGGACATTGCTCCTAGCTTTGTCACTCAGACAGACTCCTCAGCATAACAGTTATAGTAATATACAATAATATGCATTCTACCTCGGAGAAATCCAGCACCTTCAAAAGAAGAATTTTCCCACAAACCTGTAAGGTGAATAGCTGCACATTTCCTCCTCTATATTCATTAAGACATCCATTATGCAAGAAAACATAAGTGAGCATGGGAGCTTTGGAAAATTAGTATTTACCTTACATAGAGTGGGAATTGAGGAATTCTTGTGTCCTCTATTCCCCAAATTCTAAGCTTTGCTCACAGCTGCCTTTATTAGTGGCTACATGTTTGGCTTGCAGTTTTGTAAGGAGTTGCTGAAGCAATACAGAGTAGGTACTGCAACCGCAACAGCATCATGAGCAGACAAGACTTGAAAGCACAAACCTGCAAGAAGGGCATTTCACTGTTTCTCCTCCTCCTTACCATCCTACTTGACCTCTAGGTTCTTGCCATAAGACGATGCACAGTGGATGAGAAAGGTGGAAAAAAACATGTTGTGGCAAGGAATCAGGATGTAGACTTCATAGGTTTCTATTCTCATCTCTGACATATTTGTTTGATAATTACAAAAGTCACTTCTTCATCTATCTCAGTCTACTGATAGGCGAAATGGGTACAACAATACTATCTTGTCTCACCTTGTTTTGTCTGTCCCATGATGCCAGAAAGCACTTGGAGATCCTTAGATAGGGACACAGAAATAAGGTACTGATCTACAACTCCTCCTGGTGAAACTAATGGGGAAGTTCCGACTTTTGTATACAGCAAGGGAAATTAACCCCGAGGAGAGGACCTGTCCACACCTCCACTTACTCTCTCATTAAGATTGCAGTATTTGAGTCAAGCTACATGGCAGCTGGTTTAGTTACTTATTCCATTGATTTCAGAGGACAGTCTGGATTTAAGGTGCTCAGCACTGTGATTACAGAGATCCCAAAACAACAGGCTATAAGGCATGGGAAGGTTTATGTATGGATCTTTTGCACTGCACAATTTTTCTAATCTCTGTTGTAGGAGATCCCATTCAGGAGGCAGCAGCTTTGATCCTGGCTTTAATGCTGCTATTCTCTAGCAAGAGACCTCTCCTGCCTCCATTACCCACTGCAGATTGCTCATCAGGCAGTTATTTAGCCTCAGTGTCTGCTAGCCAGTTAATCCCAGTAACTGAGGATTTTTTTCAGGCACCAATGTTCACCATACTTCGAACAAACACATTAATCTCTCTTAGTCACGAGTGTGTCTATCTGTACTATAAGAATGGATGCCCTAGCTTGAAGACTGCTTCTGTTCCCTGGGCTAAAGTTTAGAACCCAGTTGTTGTCATTAAGCCTTGTATCCCACCAGGGTACTGTGGGGCTACTTATAGAATAAACAAAACAAATGTATTTCCAGGCTAGAGACACTTTCAGTTTGCAGGTCATCTGGCAGCATTCACAGCCGATGCAGAACAAGAGCAGAGCTTGTTATTACACCTCCCAAAGGCTGTCCTCCACCCAGTGTTTACCTGCATGCAGAACTCTTTGGCTTTGTCTGACATCACTGATAAGCCCTGTTCAGCCAAGGACTTACACACGTGCTTAAGTTTAAGCCCCTGAGGAGGCTGCCTGACTACCCAGGACCTAGGGTCAACCACATGCAGTGCCCTTGGCAGGGCAGGGGCAGCAATGCACAGTCCTTGTGGAGCAAAGCCTGTGTGAGAACAAAGGGTTACAGATGCTGGGGAACTGTTTTCTAATAAAAAGGCACTTGTCTTCCTGGCACAGCCCATCAAGTCCATCCTTCTGTGGACAAAAAAGTTCTCCATAAATATCTACTGATTCGTGTCCAATCTTTTCACACGACTGTGTAAATATCAATGCAATTGTTTTTATACAGGTAATGTAAATGCATTCTAATATCTGCCTTCCTCCAAGGGTTACAATCACACAACCTCACCACTCTTCAACCAAAAGCAATACTAATCATCATGCTGAAAGCAGAAATTCTATCCTCCTTGAGTTTGGAGCTGAGACTTGCCCACCTGAGGTGCATCATAGCAGCTTCCATCTGATGCCAACCCCACAAGCCCATCCAGCAAAGCTGCACCCACAGCCAGTGGAAGGACTGTTTTAGCAGGGGCTGCATCACCAGGCTTGGTAGTAATTTCAGCTGCATGCAACAAGTGCCTCTGCTAGTTTTGTTCTTTTTTAATCATTGCCATACTACCAGCAATTGCACTCAAAGAAAATAACTCAAACTTGTTGCAAATGTATTTATCTAAGACAATAAATAGCTTTGAATGGAAAACCATCTTCTTGTCTCTGTCATAAAATACACCCACAACACAACAGTATGATTTTCAATGAAGATATACATTATTGACAGCCCTCCTTGGAGGGTGAGAGCAGAGACCTGCTGCCTGTGTAGCAGCACCACTACAAGCTGTCAGGAGCTCAGAACAGAGCTCCAGGTACAGCAGCCCCTCCACAGTGGCTATTTTAGGCTACTCCCTTGGTCAGGAAGAGCACTGAGCTGAGGTTCAGTTCAGTAGGGAACTGTAGCATGCTGTTTCAGCAATTCATTATCAGTAACAGATTGCATACCAAAAGAAACAGGGCCACTGAGACTGAAATCCCTCCTGCTAGCAACTGAAAATGAAGAGCGTGGAGCATCTGTGAGGTCCCTTTGAAGAAGCCACAGAATATGGGATATGCTGAGTAAAAAGCACCCAGGGTACTCCTCCTCTTGAAAAAGATGAAGAGATAAATAGCTAATTCTTTCATCTTGTAAAAGGACTCTGTTGCCCGAAAGCTGGGGGCTTCATATATCTGCTTGTCCCTGCAGCGAGTCCTCTGGCAGAAGGACCTTTGCGCCTGAAACCCAGTTTGCCACAAAGACAAAACCCCACTGATAAATTGTTAACTCTGTCCTAGTCAGGAGCAGAGGTTGGATTCTTTATGCTGTTTTCAGAGCAACTGCTACGGCTAATGTAAGAGCACACCTGAACTGAAGCCAGCAGTGGCTGAACTTGGGCAGACACCCTGGAGAACTGCAAACAGAAAGGTTACTTCTGAAAGAAACAGGGACTGATGCTAGCCAGGGAACCGCACAAGCGATGCTGCTGCACTCTGTGCTGTCCAAAGGTGTCTCCAGCTTGCTGGGTGATTACAAGTCTCAGTGGGTAACTTCAATTCACATTACTAGAGCTCAGAAGTCAACACAGGACTGGATAAGGAAAATGCTGTTCTCAGACTCCAGCAGTTTCCACACAGGGAGGCACACACAGGGAGGGTGGTGAGGACAGCAGACCTCAGATACTTAACTGATTCACTTTAGAAGCCAGTGCTCCAGAAAACAGATTGACCGTATGAGAAATGAAGGCAGGAAATTCCAAGACAGCCCCAATTTAAACTTTCATAGAGCAAGACTGATGCTAATCCTCTGTGCTACCTGAAGCTCGCATGCAGTCCCCTGCTAACAGTGATAACTGAGCCTACAGACCTTGAGCTTCTCCACCCAAAGAGACCCGAGGACAGCAGCGACACCATGACCTGCATGTGGACTGTACATTACTGCTGGGGCAAGGAGTCATCCCAAAGGAGCAGCCATCCCTGTAGTTTTACATCTCTGAGGACAACACGTCAATGCATGGAGTGACACCCATGCACCAGCTCCCCTGCTTTCCACACAACCCAGCTCAGTGCTGGCCCATGGCAGTGCTGTGTCTGCACCAGCCATCATCAACACAGCAACACCATTGCAATGGGTTCAGCTAGGCACCCATGGTGTGAAAAAACTGCTAAATGCAGGATGGGAAATACAAATTCATCTTCTCCCTTTCCTTACCTGCTGTCTCTGACCTTGTCCACCCAGACCTGCCAGGCTTCAAACCACTTCTCTTAGCTGTCATACAGTCTTAAGTCTCGGATGATTTGAATTAAATAAAGGATATTAAAATCCCCAACTTTAACCATGTCTTAATACTGCAATGAGAATTCTTGAGTTCAGTCAAGAATTTTGCATTTGCACTTATTTTTGTAAAATATTTGTTTTCATTAAAAATGATTGATACCCTTTGGCTACCACCCCTTCCTGCAAACCAGGAGGAAAACACTGCTCACACATACATTTCTAAAGCAATGCAGTCTCAGATTTCTGGTTACATTTATTCTCAGGGTTCAATTCAATCCACAACGGGGTTAGGAAATGTTGAATGGTACACTTGTTAGTTACAGAGCTCCATGTTTTGTACTGGGACTTGTCCAGGAAGCTCCTAGAGGGGAAATCAGAAATCAATCAAAAATGTTCTAAGATTGCATGAAGTGTCCTGAAGCCATAAGGAAAGTGAAGTTTTGAAAAACATTTTATATTTAAGACTAATTGGATTTCTCAAAAAAGTAGAACAAATGAAGTGCCCAAAAGGAGTAAGCGGGCACCAGAGCCAGGCACCCCACTGGCCCCAGAGGCACCCCTAGAGCAGGGTCCTGGGACACAGCAGCCCCAAGGCACCCACTGTTCTGCAAGGCAGTGGATCTGCTTCACATCTGAAACACATCTGCCCTGGATCCAGCACACAGCAAGGAGGGAGACAAGGAACCTTCCCTGCACCTGCAGCTCCCAAGCGGTCGCTTAATATTCACTGACAAAGGTGTGGATACTACAAGCTGACCCAAAGGGTTCTTGGATGTTACCAGGGACTCCTTTCCTACAGCATTACCCTTAAACGTTACCTGTGTCTACTCCCAGCTCTGGAAAAGCTGCCAATTAGATAACATGGAGCAAATAGAGTAAAAAATAGGAGGCAGAGGTCTGTAATTTAAAATTTCATGGAAAACCAAACACACATGCAACAGAGAAAGCATTGAGGTGAAGATGTGCTTGGGAATGAGGGGCCACAGCAGACCTGTATGGGACAGCATGGTGTCAGTACCTCAGCACGTCCTTCACATACTTGCAAAGACTTCAATCAATTTTAAAATCCCAGAAATAGTCTCCTTTCTCACTAAAGCAGCAACTGTATGGGCATCCTGAACAGAACCAGCAATCAAGCCTGAGGAATGGCCTCCTGCCTTACTGCTTAAAAGCAAAACCAATGTGAATACCCCCTAAGAGCCCTGTCCCTCTCAAAGTCACTACCTCAGCCCCCAATAGCTACTGAAAGAGCATTTTACTTTGAGTTATTACTGCCTGGTTAATGAAGGAATTATAAATATTGCTGACCCAAATGTTTTCATCAAAACTGATTCTTTTTCCTTGATACCGCATCCTTTTTCTAATTAGAATCTCTACAGAAAACTACTTTTGGTGAAGAATACCAGCATTTCAGACAGAAAATCCATTGTTTCCTTTAAACTCTGAAATGTGCTTTAGGGCATTTTTTCCCATGCTTTTCTTTTGACACTTAATTATACACTATTACAAATTATACCCAGCTTTTTCATTACACACCAACCAGATAATGCTTTGATCTATAAGAAAACACATCTCAAACAGTATCAGAGGCTGCCCTTAGTCTTCTTACCAGCAAAATAACAAAACCAGATGAAGCATCAGGCAGCATGATCCAGTGCATCTACAGCCACCCTGTGACAAGGCAGTACAACACAGGAGCACCTCCTCCATCCCTCCCAGACCTTGCATCCAGTGTTACTCACAGCCAGGATCGCTGCACTCCAGCACAGGTCACTGCTGACTTCTGTTGAGCATGAAACAAGAAGGGTTCTCCAGGCAAGCACAAGAGCTGTGGTTTCCATCTTGATGCACATTTACAATTCCCCTGGTCAGAAAAGCAGGATCTTTCTTCCCACCCAACGTTTTGTGACTCTGAATGAGGCCTCCCAGGGAGCTGACACAGCAGAAAGGTGTTATTTTTCCTGCAGGCAGGAAGGATTCCAAGGAGGAATTTCTTGTCCTACACCCACGTCACAAACCCGGGTGTAGAGGAAAAGGAGCTCCAGGTTTGATTTTATATTTTTTTTCTCATTTCTGCTGGAAGGCAGGGTATGAGCAAACTGAAGAAAACAGATCTAAATCAAATTGAACTTAATAACCTCTAGAAGCAGGGAGAGCCATGCTCAAATCTAACTGCAACAAAAGCTTCCAGAAGGAGAGGGGAATCCCTTGTAGAGAGGGTCAACCCAATCGAAATGGCACTTCAAAAGTAAACTTCCCTAAATATCAGGTCTACACATGGAGCTGAGAGACCCCAAATTGAAGCACCCTCCTGATCCAAGAGCCTCACTTTTACATCCCTACTCAGCTCTACCCTCCTCCTGTAAACACTTTCCCCCAAACCAGTAGAGAGCTCCATAACCTTCAATTCAAAGGCCAAAGGTGCAAAGTGGAGGCAGCTGCCCTAGATGAGGTGGAATGAGCAGGAGGGGCTCAGAGCACCTGAGTACTTCCCCAGTCTTGTGCTGGAGGCTGCAGTGCTGCTAGCCCTAGGCAAGAGCAATGCTATTTGAAGGGCAGCACTGCACGTTGCAGCATAGATAGAGGCTTTGTGTGCTCCTTGACACAGGGATAAGAATCAGTAGTGCTGGTGGCTCCAGCCTTGCTGTGTTGGGCAAGGGCAGACCAGCTATGAGCTCTTCTCCCCATTGCCCACATGAAGCCTACAACCTTGTTCTGGGGGTGAAAAGAAAGTGGCCTTGGGCATAAAAAAAAAAACATTTATATCTTTTCTTAGCATCTCCTGGCTTTTTGGCCCTCATCCACACAGCAGATGTCTCTGAGCTCTGTCCTGAACAAGGTTTTGGCCTTTCTCCAGCTCACCTCAGAAACCTGCTCTCAGGGATGTATCTGAGCTCCTTTCCAGAAAACCTCCACCTTCTTGGGAACTCGAGACTTCTCCAGATGTTCCCAGGTTGGAGGAGTTCAGCCCTGTCACCTTATCACCTCCCACCATCCCCAGCCTGGTGCCGGGATGCTTGGCCATGCACTGGGGGTTGTGGTCCCAGAACGAGAAGCGTGGCCACTACAGATGCAGGGCCACCCTCCACCCTCAGGGCTGAGGCTGCTCTGGGTTAGGAGCCAGCCTGAGGGTATTTGTGTCTGGGTGCCTGCATCCTGCCCGGTTTGGTTTGCAGCAGGGCTCAGCACCACTGACCTTCCTGCCTGTCTGAGCAAGGAGCCTGATTTCTGCTGGTTGGCAGCAATGCAGCATCAGTTGGCTCTTTGGGAGAGGAACTCATTGCCTGTGTACAGGACTCACTTTTACCTTGCACAAAGCTAGGGAAGAGCCCTATGGATATAATAGTTCCTGTAAGTATTCCTACACCCAGAAAGCACTGACACTGCAGTCCTTCCTGGCTGCAAAATATCTTGCATCAAGGTCAAAACCCAGGACTAATGACACCCTGCTCTGACATCAGCCCCTGGCTCTCTATGGGTGCACCCTCAGGCACTGCATTTCCAGCACATCAGATACAGCAAGGTACAACATGGATGGTGCTTCTGCAAAGAAATTTCTCCATTGGATAAATGCTTTCTGCATCCTCCTGCTGCTGCCAGGGGTAAAGCCAGGCTGTGCTCAGAGCAACCACATGAGTTATTTCTAAATCCAAGAGGGAAGGTATCAACTTGTGGTCGTCCTTTGAGATAAAAGATAGCACAAAGCATCCTATAAATTGACAGTAGAGTCAGAGTACATTAAGTAAATATCTGCCTATTTGCTCAGCTCCAAGTTTCCACAAGAGCCTGAAGGGGAAATAGCTTTTCCTTGATAAATAACCATGAGCCACTGTTTTCCTGGCCAGGTCATCCCTCCTGGTGATAGTGGAATGTCTTCGCTTTAAAATTTAAGTTGATTTAGGGCTGATCCTCCAAGTATCATTCTTTAAAGGGACTATTGTTATTGCGCACTGGAAGATAGCCCGTTTCAGCAAACATGCCCCATTAGCAGTGATTTATCTGCACTGTCACATTTTTTCATTAATCTTCATTTCAAATTCATTTTTCTCTCCCACACAGCCAAGAAATTCACATTCCTGACCGGCACCAGGTGCTCCCTAGGATTACATCAAACACCCCCATGGCCCACAGCAGCAAAACTACCTGGCAAACCTTGGGAAGAGCAATAGGAAAGCAGCAGCTGCGCTCTTACCGTTGTCGCTGCACAAAGCCGGCAGCCTCATCAGGCTCTTCACTTTGAGGACCAAGCAAATATTTAACAAGTACCCCTTGCACTGTACCAGAGTTCATTATCCAGTCTCCTGAGCTCCTCCAGTCAGTAATATCCTCTAATTGATGTGATTTGGCACTTGGCCATAGGCAAATTGATTTGTAGACCAGCGGGAGATGGCAGATGCCCTTTACACTTGAGAAAAGTGGCATGTGGGTTTGTTTACCGCCTGCTGCAAGGGGATGCCACTGCAAGAGGTGCCTTTTAGGAGTGCAGGAAGCAGGTCTGCCTCCTTGGTGTGCTCTGACCACAGCCACTATCAGATGACAAGTTGTGACTGCTTGGGTATCACTCCAGCCATGAGGTTCACCCTCCCTCCTTGATCCCTGGGAGGCTGGTGCACAGGGTGAGGAAAATGGGGAATTCCCTTCTCTAAAAGTAGGTAAGATGCATGAGGTATCTCCATGCCCTCTTCTGAAGGGTGCTCCAACACAGGGTCCCTCTCAGGGCTGGCATTGATCTTGGTTCTGGGGTATGGGGAGTTGCCTCTGCTTGAGTAAGGGCAGGAGGAGTAAGGACAACTCGCCTGCTCTCAGAGCAAAGGGAGGCTGCAGCCTGCTGGGGTTTAGTTCCAGGAACCCACCAGTGCTGCAGTGCAAGGGCTGAACTCCAAAGCCTGCATAGGTTTTCTTTCCAAGATGCAGGAGTTCAGTGCTGAGCCTTCTTGGTCATTGTTAGTCATTTATAGGTGGATTGCTTGGGGTTTTGGTACCATACAATTTCTGCTTTCACTGTTTTCAAAGGTTGTTGGTTTATCCACTACTTTTTTTGTTTTGCTTTCACGCTTTCAGTTATATTATCATGCGTGCAAATTGCTTTGTTACAAATTAATGTAGGGCATAGTCATGTAACTCTTTTACTCAAGATGCTCTATAAGTTTTTAGCATTCGTATGCAACTTGGCTTCAAGATTTTACCTCCAGCATATTAATACTGCAGCAAAAGGAAGTCAGCATGCAATCCCAGCTGTTATCATCAGCCCAGTACTCTGAATATTCAAGTTTACTTGAAAGCCTGCTTTTACAATTATACAAAAAACCATTAATATAGTAGAAGAATTAAGAATCTCACTTTTCAATCATTTTATTCCAACAATTTTAAGCTAGCATTGAAATCATTTTCTTATCACACCAGAGTACCACATTTATCTTAAAGGTATTTATTGATAATTGAAAACAACAATATTCTAATTACTTGTATAAAAATAGTAAATCTGAATAAAGCTGCATGACTGTTAGAGATGGAGGGAGAGATCCTCCTGCTCAGACATCACATTACTCCAGTCATCAAGGATCTGACAGGGCTGGAAGGATTTTTCCCGAGCACTGGCCAAATCCCACGCGGAAGCCGTTGCCCTGGCAGTAACCTAGGGCCAGAAAACAACAGACAGCTTGTTCTGTAAGGATTTTACCAGGAATAAAAGTGAATAAAGGCATAGAGAGACCAAAGCCAAGTGGAAACATTTCAGAAATGCAATGACGGGTAAAAATAAGAGTTCAGGTAGCCCAGGAATACATAAAAAAGGTAAAAGAAGCACAAAATGTAAAACATGGCAACAGTGAGTTCAGTGAATTGATCAAAGAGCAAACAAGATGTGCAACATTCCTGTTTTCAAACCTAACTTGCAGCATCATCAATCCAACTGGCAAGCTGATTCACTGCCTGGCCCAGCCTTGTAATTAATCAAGTAAATCTGGATTCTCTTTCTGCAGCATTAGGCCTGCTCCCGGGAGATCAAGATGCTTTTGGACAGAAAGATGATCATTAAACCCCTGCAAAGAGCAGGACCTGCCCTTACAGAACCTGTTTCACTTGCTAAAAACAAGTAGTTTAGTTCCATGAGAAACGCAGCATCTGTCTCAAAATATTCATTTATCCTCTATTACATAAACAGGCACTGAAGATCTGCTGACTGCTGCTGAACTTACCAGACTGTGACAACATCTCTAACTACAGGATGATTCAATCTCTCCCTACTCCTGCGTGATAGGACGGATGACATTCGGATGGAGATGATGCAGTGCCTCTTGTTGCCATGGGCCAGCTGAGCTGCTTCAGAAACAGCCTCCGCTAGTAAAGCTGCAGGTGAAGGAGAGGAGGGGACAAAGCCAGGGGCTTCTGGCCCATCTGGGAAGACTATTCTGGGAAGAAACAGCTGAGGAGATCTACTGTAGCTCTCCACCAAAATACCAGATCAGAGGAAGGACACAAGTGGAATATGCTGCATTTTAAGGACTGATTTTCACAGTTAAGAGATGGACTTCCCTGAAATAATGGAATACATCATCATCCCTGTATGTGATAAAAAACAGCTGCCTTTGAGAAGCCAAGAGGGAGCTGAACAGAACAGACCTTAACTCCAATTCCCACCCTTAGCACGGATCGGTGGAAACCTCCTCCAAGGAAGAGGAGGATGGGTGGTTCAGGCCACAGAGCAGCCAAAGTTATTGCAGCATGAGGACAGACCCTGACAGCACTAACCAACCACGCAGCTCTCACAGCCAGGCTGAAATGAAGTGTTTCCAAGGACAGCAGTGTGTCTAACTGCTTGAGTAACAGCCCACAGACACCACCTCGGTATCTGCCAGGTAATCCCCATTTGTAAGCAATACTGGAGCAAGACACTTGCTTTAGGGCTCAGCTCAATTTCCATTTGTTTCATTAGGCTTCATTGCCAGCTTTCCTTTGAGCATCAGCTTTCCTTTGAGTGCCAGCTTATTATTTCAGCCCAGTTTAGTTATCCTTGCTGTCAGCTACGATTTAGAGCAGTACCAAGGAGCAGCACATTTAACAAAGCAAGCCCTGTGCTGCCAGCACAGCAGAGTGCCAAGGAGCTACAGGGAGATGTTTGCAGCCAGCTGCAGCAGATCATCAGCAACCTTTCCCTCCCAGTGCTCTCTTCTGAGATTCACTTCTTGGGAAAAATACATTTCTCTCATTTTATGTGTTAGGGCTCTGAAATAGCTCCCACAAGGGGAACAAGAACACAAAGTTGAAATAGGAGACTAGAAATTATGGGTTGGGCATTTGGCAGGAGATAATGGTGCTGCCTCAGGAGGGGATGCAATAGCCCTGGCCCTG